TCCGCATTTTTCAAAAAAAAAATTGTTTCGGAGATCAAACAACGGACGAATGGATGGGTCTCGCGCGAGAGATGCGAGATTCTGTGGGGTTATTATGAGAATTTTATCTCATTATTTCTGGGACTCTTGGAAATACGAGTCCTGGTATCGTATCACGTGGTCCGTATGAGAGTTACGTGACCTGACGAGTCACAGCAACAAATAACTCCACGGTTAATTTGAGTCGTCTGGACCGAATCGCCAGCCTGGCTATCGCTTTGTTTACAAGAACAACTTCCTTGCAGCTGAGCGCATCGAAACATATCGAATGTCACGGCGAGCGAAAAAGTGCGTCGACCAACTGGACAGGCGCATCGCTCAGACGTTCAAAATTTCAAGTGAGGAACTGACTAAAATCTTTTGCAGAAACCACAAACTGCCACGAAGTTTTATAATCTGAAGGTAACTTTGGCGTTTGTCTGAGTGGAAACACAGCAGAGGGCACTTTCTTCGAATTGCGTCTGCAAAGAACGCCATAAGAGGTGGGGCCGCTCAGTCGTGCATGCCTGGCTGCGGACTGGCAGGGGCAGAAACTCAGTTTGTGGGCCACTGAAGATGGAAGCAGCAAGGTCCTCCGAAACGTTGCAAACCACATACAAGATTTCACGGCGTCACAACTCAGAACAGGGCGCCGCGAGGAATATCGGAGCGCGACAGCGACGAAGTGGCGAGGGGGGGGGGGAGATTGACTGCGAAACTACGAGCCTAAGAAATGGGTTTTACATTCCTTTGTTAACGTGTGTTGATCACGTGGAGTGTTGACAATTCCCCGTTTCAAAGACGACTCGGAAGGTGTACTCTGTGGAGTACACCGCAGTTCCAAAGCCTCTTCGCGTCACACAACGCGCGCTGAGGTCATGGTCTTACAAAATGTTGCTCCCAGCCAGCGTCCGTTCGTGACCAGCTGAGCGAACATCAGTTTGTCAAGGAGCCCGCGAAACAAACTTACGGCAGAATCCAAACTGATCGCTTAGTTCGTCTGTCCCTCAGTTCCCTCCAGGAACGCGCCGTGCAATATTATACAAAAGAATCTTTCAATAACGTTGCTGGCAGAGCGCATTCAAGTGCCTACAAATATTTTCATTAGCGACAAAGCAGACGGAGCTAAGCTTTCGACGGCCGAGGGGAGCGACCGGGCGCATTGTGTTCGCGTCACCCGACACCTCGTCGCCTTCCCCTCCGAGAACCAGGCTTTGTGAAGTTACTAAATCACATGGCAGGAACAAGTGATTAATGCAGATAATATTTCAATTGAGTAACTTCGACGCTGCGGATTCAAGTTCATCGTGAACAGAAGAGGCAGGTGGCAGAGAGAGAGGGAAATGGCGTGGGGATGCACGTGGGAAAAAGACAGCGGCGAGAGATAAGACCCACCCGCGCTCACTTCAGCTCCAACACCGAAAAGGTCCGACTTACGAGCCGATTTGTCCAAACCCAGGGCAACTCATATTAAAATATTTGTTCGTCCTCGCAATTCAGTGCAGTT